GACTAGCTTGACTAAGTAGCCGTTAGCTTGACTGTGAGTAAAGACTAGCTTGACTAAGTAGCCGTTAGCTTGACTGTGAGTAAAGACTAGCTTGATTGTGAGGAACTGTTAGCATGAATGTGAGTAGCTATTTTCTTGACTGTGAGTACTTGTTAGCTTGAGCGTGAGTAGCTGTTAGCTTGTCTGTGGTTAATTTTTCTCAGAGTAGCTGTTTGCTTGTAAATAGCCATTAGCTTGTCCGTGAGTAGACATTAGCTTAAATGTATATAGCGGTTAGCTCCATTGTGTTTATCCATTTTTCTCAGAGGAGCTGCTGGTTTCACAACATATGCTGACAGCTCAAAGCTACTCCACAGAACTTAAAAGCTTTTATCTTTCATGTCTAACGACATTTCATGAATTAAATAATCAGCCAGCCAGTTTAACAGAAACCCTTTCTTCTCCTCCAATCATCCCCTATAAGATCTTAGCGTGGGGCGTTCGAAACCTTAAGAGCTTCCAGTTGGCGAGCGTCACGTCTCCCAGCTTGCAGGTGGAGTGTGGGGGCAGCATGGTCCAGAGCTGTGTCATCCGCAGTGTGAAGAAAAAGCCGAACTTTGACATCAATACGCTCATCCTTGATGTGGTAAGAGTGAGGAGACGAACTGTACTACACACAAACTCACATTATAATCAGCACACAGACCCTCTGCTTTCATGGCTAATGAGAGCTCTGCTCTAATGTGGTTTGCTTCAGTCATTTGTCTTCATCAGCGAAGCCACAATAATGGCAGCAGAAAGGAGGATTCGGAGCCTCCTTCTTTTTTTCCACAAAGAGTTCAAATCCTTCGGTAGAAAAGCAAAAGCTGTGAGGTTTCCATCTCAGCTGCAGAGTGTTTCACCATCTTTCTACAGATGAAGGGTGGGAAACCTTTCCTACTGCTGCTAGCATGTACTTTACATTAATAATACAGCATAAATATAGAGTGGAAATTTTTACCTTGAGTATGGTGAAAGTCCAGATGCTGACCAGATGTTTTTAAACTTGGATGCGGCTGAAAAACACGGTCATAAAGTCAACTGATTATGATACTTCAGAAAGCACCCATTATGCATGTAGTGAGCCTTTAATCATGAACCCAGAGAGGTTTAACTCTGAGTATCTGTTAGCTTGATTTAAAGTAGCTGTTAATTTGACTGAGTTAGTTTGACTGTGGGTAGCTGTTAGGATAGCCTGACTCTGAGTAGCTGTTAGCTTGATTCTGGGTAGCCAATAGCTTGAATCTTCGTAGTTGTTAGATTGACTCTGATTAATTGCTACCTTAACTCTAAGTAACTGGTAGCTTAAGTGTGAGAAGCTGTTAGCTTGACTTTGACTAGTTATTCGTTGCACTCTGAGTAGGCGTTAGCTTAACTCTGATTAGGAGTTAGCTTGATTCTGGGTAGCCAATAGCTTCAGTCTTAGTAGTTGTCAGATTGACTTTGATTAGGTGTTAGCTTAACTCTGAGTAACTGTTAGCTTAAGTATGCAAAACTGTTAAATTGACTCTGACTAGCTATTAGTTTGACTCTGAGTAGGTGTTAGCTTAATTCTAACTATCTGTTAGCTTGGCTATAAATTTGTTGTTAGCTTGAAAAAGAAATGGTTTGAGCTAAATTTTGAGTAGCTGTTAGTTTGAATATAAAATTTGTTGTTAGCTTAACTCTTGAGTAGTTGTTAGCTTGACAAAGAAATGGTTTGAGCCTCATTCAGAGTAGCTGATAGCTTGGCTATAAATTTGTTGTTGGCTTAACTCTGAGTAGTTTTTAACTATGAGAAGGTATAAGTTTGATTATGAATTGGTGTCAGCTTTACTCTGAGTAGTATTTAGCCTGACAAAAATGATTTAAGTTTAATTCTGAGTAGCTTTAAGCTTGATTTATCCATTAGCTTAAGTCTGAGTAACTGGTAGCTTAAATATGAGAAGCTGTTAGCTTGACTTTGATTAGTTACTCAACTCTGAGTAGGCGTCAGCTTAACTCTGACTAGCTGTTAGCTTGATTCTTAGTAGCCAATAGCTTGACTTTGAATACCTGTCAGATTGAATCTGAGTAGGTGTTAGCTTAACTCGAACTAGCTCTTAGCTTGGCTATAAATTTGTTGTTAGCTTAACTCTGACTTGCTGTTAGCTTGATTCTTAGAATTCAATTATTTGACTCTGAGCACTTCTTAGATTGACTCTAATTAGGTGTTAGCATGAGTCTAACTAGCTGTTAGCTTGACTATAAATTAGTTGTTAGCTTAACTCCGAGTATTTGTTAGCTTGACAAATAAATGGTTTGAGCTTAATTCTGAGTAGATCATATCTTGGCTATAAAGTTGTTGTTAGCTTAGGAATTTTTCACTTGAAATGGTTTGAGCTTAATTCTGAGTAGCTTTTAGCTTGATTTATCCATTAGCTTAACCCTGAGTAGCTGTTCGTTCTATCTTGATGCTTAGCAGTCGTTAGGTTGACTCTAAGAAGCTTGACACTTTATAGCTGTTAGCTTAACTCATTACCTGTTAGCTTGACTATGAATAGCTGTTCTGCTAAAATCTGTTTTACGAAATGTTAGAAAACAAACAAAACAAAAGACAAACAATTGAAACAAGGCTGAAATGTCCTTAACTTTTTTTAATTAAAAAGCTTTGAGTGTCGTTGACAGCCAGTGAAAATATATTTTTACTGTGTACATACCTGCCATTAGTGTTCCTTATGAATCAGGCCTGAAATGAAATCTAGACACGATGTGCACATTTGTCCTCCCAGCAGCAGCAGCAGCAGCAGAAGCAGCTCTAAAATGTGCCTGAGAGTTTAAATTTAACAACATTAAGGTCTAAAGTCGATCCCCTCTGTGTTTTATTATGACAGCTTCAACTGGAGTTTGGAAATTTTCACATATTTTTCCTTCAGACACAGATCCAGCTCGTTCTGTTTAATGTTAACAAGATTAAAGTCCTGTTTTTGACCACCAGAAGGGTATGACAGGCCTAACCCTTTACTGTGGAAATATGCACATTTTCCCTTTAAATTCAGCCCTCATAAACCGAGTCCAAACATTCACCGTTAACAATGTTAAAGACTTAGGTCGACTGCATAAGTGTTTTCTTATGCCAGCAGAAAATGTATCATCCATGGTTTCCTCAGACGCAACTCTTTGAAGGGTCTAACCACCTTATTTTAACTCTCTAAGCCTGATGTCTGGCTTTAACCTCGTTAGGCTCACTTAAGCTTCTTTAAACCCAGAGAGGTCAAACAAATTAGACTTACTAACCAAGCATATTGGAGGCTGGTTTTTGAGTGACTCTTAGCTCCATCTCACTTTTATAGAAGCCAGAGAGTTTGCTGTGGAGTTATAGCGACTTGATTCACCTTTTATTTGTTTGAATGACTTGATGAGTCCAGTCATTTCTTCCTGTAGGTAGATGTGACCTTAATTAAGCCTTGATTGGATGCTCACCAAGGCGTAGCCAATCAGCAATCAAACAATCAGCAACCAGAGCCAATCAGCATCAGGCAGGCAGGTGGCGTAACCAATTAGACTCTGGAAGCCTTGAGAGGAGGCCATTTTACTTGTTTAGGTTGGATCAGTGTGGTGTTGTCTTTCTCATTCAGTTCAATTCATTTCAGTTTATATAGCGCTAAAAAAATGCGTCTAAAATCAATCAATCTAAAGCAGCTGCAGATTGCGCTGAATCTTCAATTTGTTGCAGTCTTTCATCCTGAGTCACACATTGGCGACTGTGGAAAGGAAAAAATATAAAATAAAATCCCTTTTAACAGGAATCAGGTTCTTTAAATGGCATAAAAAATGTCTTAAATTCTTAAAGGGATCCCTGATTAGTTGTAACATTAGACTTTATTTAATAAACATTTATTTTAACTGTAAGATAAAGACTATAAAAATACTGTAGGCTGTTTAGTTTTTAGAATTTTTAAACTAAAAGTTTAAAAATATATTACATGGACAGGGCCATTCTATTTACACGCAAAACATTCTGGGTATATGATGACGTGGATAGGTCCTCTGTGCGAGGCTGCTAGCGAGCTATATCCACCCTGAAGGTTAATCTTGGACAATATTTGACGATCAGCTCTTTTAAATGAAACCAGAGAGCGTTGACAGAGAGGAGAAGGTAGAAATGACTCAGCCTGGAACTGAAAATATGGATGGAGGACAACAGAGCTGCTTCATGGAAGAAGAACCTCAGCTTAGCCTGTTAGCTTAGACAGTCCTATCTGTGTTTAGAAGCAGAAAATTAAGAGTTATCCATGGATAAACATAACTGAATATCATCGGCATAACAATGAACATTTATCTCATGCTGTTTAATAACTTTACCTAAAGCATATATAAAATAAAGAGGATTGGTCCAAGCACTGAACCCTGAGGAACTCCATGATTAACTTGGGTGTAAAAAATGATTCATTATTCAAATTTACAAACTGGAATCTGTCAAATAAAGACAATTTAAACCATCATAGACTTGTTCCTGTAATCCCAGTATCATGTTTAAGCCTTTTGTGTTTTCTATCTTTCGCTTCCCGTTTGCCAGAGACTTCCCCGCGAGGAGCTCTACATGCCGCCGATTGTCATCAAAGTCATTGACAACCGTCAGTTCGGGAGAAAGCCCGTTGTCGGTCAGTGCACCATCAGGTCGCTCGAGGAGTACCGGTGCAGTCCAGAGGAGGAGCAAGCGCAGGAGGAGGAAGGAGAGGAGGAAGATGGATGGAGACGTAAGAGACAGGAACTAAAACAAAAACCCAAACCGTGGATATACGTTAAACTCGTCTTCTTTTTTATGTGTCAAGGTGAGACGCCCCAGTTCACCACCGGTGAGGTCTTTATTGACATCGATGATCAGGAGCCACTTGTTCCTGAGCAGGTAAAATCAGCTGGTCAGTCATAAAGTTAATGAAAATAGGAAATTAGCCCAAAATCTCTTGATATGTATGACTTCTCCACAAGAGTTCTTTGTTTCCTGTTAAAGACATCAAACCTAGAGGTTACCGGTTTAGTATTTTTTTTGTTAAATCAATTAATAAGAAATAAATTCTCATGTAAATATCTCACAGTGATATTAATGACGTTACAACTTATGTGGTACCTCATGGAGAGGTCTAAAAGATCCTGCAAACCAAAAAAAAAAAAACAGGATCTGGGGCTTAAACGCCTCTGTAATTAAAACAATACAAAGGACCACACTTATTTGGAATTCTTGAGATGGAGGAAAATACGCTGATGGAAAATTCCAGGTTAGACCTTTTAGACAGCAACGGGTCCAAAAGAACCAGGATCTCCCTGGGTCATGATTGTTGGAGACCAGTTGTGACTCAAAATTGGAGAAAATTAGCAAATTTTCAGTTAGAGTTTCTGAAAATGGATCATTTACACCACTAACCTGTAGTAAGTTTTTTTAAAGTTGCTTTTAATTTTTACAGTTTTGTAGTCTTGGTCATGCACATATTTTTGTTGCCCGGAGTACAATTTAGTACACTTCTTCTTGGTCTACACACCTTAAAGGTGGTTGATTTACTGTTAAGCTATGGTTTGTATTAATATGAGACTAATTTGTTGCTAACTTTCAATTGTTGACCCAAAGTCTGTTTTTGATGCTTGATTCTATCGTACCTTAGAAAATCCCTGAGAAACATGCTGTATATTTATTTAAATTGTCCTTATTGTAGATGTTGCTCACTTTGAACTGAACACCAAAAGTCGCAGCGTTGGGTATCAGTAAATGCAGCATGGCAGGTCTTGGAAAAAGCTCTGCCTTAAGGTTTAGGTAAAAAAGATTTGAAGTTAATGAGCTTCAACATGGAAAACCACCAAACTGGTCTGTCAAAGGACTACTGAAGAAATGTTTTGTGACAGTGGAGGACTTTGAAGAAAAAAAAACCCAAGCTTGGGATTTCTGTTAATCTCATTTGTGTTTTAATTGTTCTTTTTGTGTCTCCTTTTTGTCTTTTTCTTTTATATTGAACCTATCTTGGTTAAGTTCTTAAACTTTATATTACAGTAATAATTTGGGAACTTGTGTACAACCAAGCCTCCCAACCACACATCATCTTTATGTGATTCAGAAAATCCCTCATCCTGTTATGTGAGTGTGTTGGGGCTTTGTGTTGACCAACATGGGAGGTCCAAAAATGTCCAGAATGAGCCGAGATGAATGACTGACTGTGTTGGAGGGTGTAATGAGACCAAGGAGGGTGTCGAAATGGCTGTTTACGCCCTGACCTCACCACCCTCGTCTAATTAAAGAGCCTCCACATCAAAACAACACAATAAGCAACAAGACAATAAACCCGCGGTCATAACCGAAAGCTCTGCATGCTTGCTGTTTGTAACAAGAGAATGATTTGTTGGTTGTAATTTAAAAAATCAATAAATCAAATGACAGCCGTAACAATAAGCAGCATCGGAGGGTTAAAAACCATTTTTCAAACATGTGAAAGACATTAAAAGATTCATTTTATTTACTGAACTTGGCTGGAAACACCAGCAACAGGTGAGGATTTGTGGAATTTTTCTATAAATGTTATAATCTTATCTAAAGCTTTTTTAAATTAACCTCTATGACGTTTTATGAGGGCCAAAATCCAGATTATTATGCACCCACCCAATGATAGATATGTCTTTGTAGCAGGAGGCTATATCTATTTCAACGCTAGCAACTGACCTGACTAATCAAGGCCGGCACCGGTAACTGAGATGCCTGCAGAGGCAAATGTGCTAGCATTGTAGAGGCTAGTGACTAGCATGCCTAAACTGGTTACCGTTTGGAGTGCCTACTCTGTTAACGATGAAATGAAATGATGATGCCTTTATTGTCATTGTGCAGAGCACAACAAATTTACATTTAAGGACACCCATTCAAGAAACCACAAGACAAACAAGGGGAACAGGTGTACAGGTCATGTAGCAAGTTAACATGGATAGGCTGGTGTTAGCATTGGATAGGCTGGTGTTAGCATTGGATAGGCTGGTGTTAGCATTGGATAGACTGCCATTAGCATTGGATAGGCAGGCATTAGCATTGGATATGCTAGTGTTAGCATTGGATAGACTGACTTTAGCATTGGATAGACTGACATTAGCATTGGATAGGCTGACATTAGCATTGGATAGGCTGGCATTGGCATTGGATAGGCTAGTGTTAGCATTGGATAGACTGGCATTAGAAGCGGATAGGCTGGCATTAGCATTGGATAGGCTAGTGGTAGCATTGGATAGACTGACGTTAGCAATGGCTAGACTGGCATTCTAATTGGATGCTGATGTTAGCATTGAATAGGCTAGGGTTAGCATTAGATAGACTGGCATTAGCACTGGATAGACTGGCATTAGCACTGGATAGACTGGCATTAGAATTGGATAGACTGACGTTCTAATTGGATGCTGGTGTTAGCATTGAATAGGCTAGGGTTAGCATTGGATAGACTGGCGTTAGCATTGGATAGAGTGGCATTCTAATTGGATGCTGATGTTAGCATTGAATAGACTAGGGTTAGCATTAGATAGGCTGGATTAGCATTGGATAGGCTGGATTAGCATTGGATAGGCTGGATTAGAATTGGATAGGCTGGATTAGCATTGGATAGGCTGGATTAGAATTGGATAGGCTGGATTAGCATTGGATAGGCTGGCGTTAGCATTGGATAGGCTGGCGTTAGCGTTGGATAGGCTGGCGTTGGCGTTGGATAGGCTGGTGCTAGCATTGGATAGGCTGGCAATAGCAATGGATAGGCTGGTATTAGCATTGGATAGGCTGATGATGGCGTTGGATAAACTGGCATTAGCATTGGAGAAGCTACTGTATAGCATGCCTAAGCTGGTCACTCACTATCAGACATATTTTTTATAGGAGTTATTTAAATGAAATGTTATTGTTAGCAGCACCTAGCTTTAGCAATACCATCCAAGATGTAATCCTTGAGTCTAAGATTTATTTTTGAAAGCATTTTTTAAAGCTGTGTTTTGTTGCCATAATTCAAATTCAGATTTTCTGGAGTCAGGTTTGTAGATTTTTATGTAAATATAAAAATTAGCCAAGCATAGTTTTATGTTTTACTAAATTGACTTAATGTCCAACTAAAACCTGTAGACTGACTCACCTTTGACCTTTCTGTCAGTTTATAACTATTCATGAAGTTGTAACACTAACATTGTTTTTAACCCTAATCAGCTAACCTGAAAGTGTGTTTTTATGTTTGTGCTTTCATATGCTGCCCTGTAGTTTGCAGATGGAGCCAGTTCAGCTATCATTAACCTTTCAACCTCTACTTCCAGCCTTCATGTAGGTAACATACGCATCTTTTAACTAATGTCAATCAGCCATGTCAAATGTTAACCTTATTTGTTATATTTCCTGTTTTGTTACCATTCTTTTTGTATGTTCTGCCTTTTCTTCTGTCATGACATGAGTGAATGCTATCCAGATCTGTTTACAATGGCAACAAGCAGCAAAAGTTTTTTAAATCTAAATACTTCTGTATCATGTATACAGTATAAAACTATATAATACTGTAATAAGACCCTAAACCAGTCACCTGTGAAGTTTAAGTATGTCATAGATGTGCTAAAGAGACCACGCTAATTATTAGCACCATTTCCTTCTTTTGCATTAGTGTTTTGTTTAACTATAACAATTCAAAGAAGACCACATTAACTTAGCATTGTTAGCATTAGCGGTTATCTTAAATTGACGCACAAACAAAAACCCAAATGTAGCTTCAGTGTATGATGATTAGAGCGGAAATGAGACCATGATAAACCATAATACCATAAGTGGCATTAGCATTAGCAATTAGCTTAACTTGCTGTCAACACATTAGCTTAAAAGCAATAAGCTGTGAAGAGTAGATTTTTGTTCTAAAAACCCTCATTGTGTCATATTTGGAGTGCTAAGGAGACCATGCTACTCATTAGCACCATTGTCATCTTTAGCATTAGCGTTTAGTTTAACTTGCTGTAATAGGCTGTGTCCAAAACGGCAGGACGGGTCCTCCGAAGGTCGAATTTGTCGGCCGCATACGTCACAGCGCCGCGACGAAGGACGTCCAAAACGGAAGACTTCTCCGATGCGTCCGACAAATACGTCCTTCTTTTCCCCCGAATCGAAGGACAGGTCYGATGGATCCTTCCCGGCCCAGCATATCCCATAATGCATTGCGGCCCGACCGGAGATTTTTTTAAGCTAGTAATGGCGGACTAAGCGAGAGAAAAGAATACGTTTTAAATAAAAATATGGTGATTTAAAAATTTTAAAAAATTAGCGGTTGTAATTCTAATACTTTTATCATTTGTATGGACATGTTTTTAAATATTATTTTTTCGTCATAAAAAACGCGAAATAAACATGAACCTACAGCGGGTCAATTAGTTCTTCWAATGHTACYTTTAAGTTAATTTTATAGTTTTGTGATATTAATAATGCTAATGTATTGATATTTTTCTAGTTTTGATTGAAGTTTGCTTGTTTAGCGTCGTCACAGTTGCTAGGTGACAAGACGTACGCCGGGGTAAGAAGGGGAGGCTAGACCGTCCAAATCCACAGCCTCTTTTTTTCCGGTCTTCCCGGTCTACCAAGGACCCGGCCTGCCGAGACCGGGGAGTCTGGGTCCTCCAGAGGACCCGGCCTGTCGTTTTGGACACAGCAATAGAGTGCAAAGAAGGTCACGATCAGTCACTGTTGTTAGCATTAGCAGTTAGCTTAATTTGCTGCAAGAACAATGACCTAACAGTACTTAACTCTAAAATGTAGCTTCAGTGTGTGATGTCATTTTAGGAGTGCTAATAGTTAGCCTCATTAGCATTAGCAGTTAGCTGAACATGTGAGGACAATGGCAAAAAATCACTAACATCAGTTAGAGATTTGAACATTGCAAGCTGCCACAGACAATTGTATTAAAAAGATTTTTGTTCTAAAAGTGCAAAGGAAGCTATGCTAACTGTTAGCACTATCAGAGTCATTAGCTCTAGCAGTTAGCCTGACTTGCTGTAAGAACAATGGCCTATAAGAGGTCAACAGTTGATTGTAGCTTTTTGTTCTAACTCTAATACAGCTATACTTTATAAAGAACAAATAGTAAATATTTTCTTCTGGTTCCTTAAATTAACTTTTTAAAAAAGTATAGTTATGTTATGACTATTAGTGAAAACATAAGCCAGTGCCACACACTGTAATACAGAAATAAATACACCTATGAATTTTAAAATGTAAATCCTGATAATATGACTGAAGCACATTTTTATGCAGCTTCATCTCAAACACAAAAGTCTTAAAATGATAAATGACCCTCATGAATTTTATACAGAGCAAAGTTCTGTATTGATTAAGTTTACTCTGAGTGTGACATTGATGGATACCACTGGCTGACTTTTCGCGTTTTGCTTTTTAGTCACTTCTCAGGGAAGAAAAACTAAAAAAAAAAAAAAATCTGGAGTTTCAGCGAGTGCCACTGCAATCCATGTGGTTTTAGGAGAAACCCAATCCCTGACTTGTACAGGAGACTGCGCTCCTTGTTACGTTCTTTTTATTTTTATTTTTCTAAGGCAGGTCAATTTAAAGACTAAGCATGACCCGAAGCAAACACGCGCTACCAGTGGAGCTCTTTTTTTAACAGTAATTGAGGGGGGGTTATTCCTTTCTCTCCAAACAAAGTTATTTGTTTTATTAGGGGACAGATATTGAAAGCAGTCATATTAAAGGCTCGGCTTTCTGTCTGGTTTGGGCCAAAGTCAACAGAGCTGGTATAGATCCTTTTCTACCGCAGCTCCCCATACGCCTACAGTTACCACAAGGAAAGATGAATAAATAGAGAGGGTTAAGGAGGGAGAAATTGACTAAAGAAGGGGCAAAGAATCAGAAAAGGTTTGAGTGAAGAAGGAACCAGAAGGGGCTAATATCACATGGCACCAGAGAGAAGTTCTGGGTCAAAACCAGAGAAATGGGTCATGGGTGTACGTCTCGATGATTACCACATTACTGCAGCAGAATCTGCGGGGCGGCTTCCAAGGCAGATTTAGTTTCAGAGCTGGAAAAGTTGAAAAGGATCGTCTGTCGGTAGCGTCATGATCCCCGTTCAACACGAACGAGATCTAACCTCGGTTAGACGGAAAACGTCTCGTCTCATCTGCAGGATCTGAGCTTGACGACAGTATTTATCACGAATTCAACCAACCTCAGCAGAAGGTAGTTCTATCAAAGAAATCCCTCGGATCGCTCTCGTATAATGTGGCTTTTCAGTTTATTTTTTTAATTTTTGTTTTTTAAATCTAGGTGGAAAGATGTGGTTTTACTGCACCTTCTCCTCTCCCATTAATACTCATCAAAACTATTCAGGTTCTGTGCCAAGCAGCAGTCGGATCGGTTTAAAATCCCACTTTGAAAGTGTTGTAGTTCGCCTCAGCTTCCATAAATCCACTCTGGCTGCTTCAGAACCAGAACACTAACTGACGTGGCCCGGTGCCAGGCAACGCTGTGGCATTTTTTTTATTTTTCAAAGGGCGGGGGTTTTGTGAAACACACATTTATGGTCCTTTAATGACACTGTGACCAGAAACAAGATGTCAACACAGCTTACTAAATCATTATTGTTTTTCTTGTTCTGCTAATTACAGCCACAGACTGATGTAAGCTGCCGCTCTCGTCCAGAAAAACTGAACGCTGCACATATTTTTCTGCCCAGAATGTCATTCAGACGTGACCGTGCAGATCTGGGTGGTGCGTGGGGGTTTGTGCAAGTCCACAGTTGCGTGTTTGGTCGTGTGTTAGATTTTAGCGTGCATTACAGTTTGGATGATAAAACTGTTTGAGTGGCTACACACTCTCTTTTGTTGGTTGTACGGTTGGTCTCTGATTGGAGTCGTTTACAGCATTTATAAGATCCTATTGCATTACACCAGAAAAATGGACACGTTCTTGGTGTCGTTGACCTGACAGGTCTGCAGATACTTTATGTGCAGGACTTAAAGGGACTAGTTGTAAAGGCCCTGTCATAAACTTATGAACATTTTAAAGATATCTATGTTGTAGATGGAATTGAAAAAATCCACTGGAAGCTTCATTTAGGCGTGTACATAATGTAATTCTAACAAATTGATGAAATATATAACTTTTATTTGCAATTTAGAAATAAAAAATGTTTCGTAATTTGGCATAAGTCGTCTAGTGTGACAGGGCCTTTACATGATAAAAAACAAGCAACCGTTGCTTTGTACAAGGGTTTTCTAGCCATTGGCTAATTTGCAAACCCAGTCCTTGGTTGGACTTTTAAAATAAAAACAGCTAAAGATAAAAATAAAAACAGTCCCCACTTTCTCTC